GTTTTATATACAGTCCAAATAATATCAAAGCGGTAAAAAGCTGAATTTAGCACATCAGGCCCAAACATGTAAAAATCAGATAATAAAATAAAGTCAAACATAACAGTTATTCTAAGCTCGAATTCTTGAACCCTGAACCGGAAGTTCTGGGTTCCTACTCCCCAGCAGAGTCTCTAGAGCTGTCACACCTCCTTTTTACCCCCCGAAGGTAACGTAAGAGAGCTTTTCCAATTAAAGTGACATTATTCGAAATGAGATTATTTATTTAATCAGAGTCGCCACTTGGAATAATTTAATTGATGTTCTAAGTCACCAGTTTATTTTAAATCCCAAATTGAGAAAATTCGACTTTCCTTTTGAAGTCTACGAACCATAAATTCTAAGTAAGGAATTCTGTTAACCCGGGAGAAGGTGTTAGGCATTCCTGGGTTTTGTGGTTCTAGCACGGTCACTTAAACTATTATAATTGGCCTATTATCTGATTTTAATACATGTTTTAGCCTATGGTACGATTTTTAACTTATTAAGCGCTTTTAATTATTTTTAGGAAGATTCAACGTTATCTAAAACACGCCTTGAACTACGCCACATGAAATGCACCCGGGGTCTATGACACATTTTGTTTAACGTTGTTGAGAATTGGAGTTGGGTCACATGAAATGCACACCCTAATTTGGATAAATAAAGGAGATTAATTTAAAATAGCGCGCCTAAAGCAACTATGAAATTTCAAGTTTAAAACAAGTTTTACGAGGGCTATGGAAAATTCAATTGATGGCATACCTCGATTTAACGAGTTCATATTAATTATCCGAGGGCCATGGGTTATCTAATTTTGCATTATGGCACACCTCGATTCTAATTTTTAAAAGATGTTTGAACTAAACTTTTGAGTGCCATAAATTATATCTTACTTAATATGGCACGCCTCAAATCTTATTGTTCCAATGATGTTTTGTTTTTTTTATCATGAGGGCCATAAACTATTGGTGTTATTTAATATGGCGCACCTCAACTTAAGTAAAAGAATTAGATTAGAACAAAACACAATTCAGAACTATTGTTTGCATGACTATTAGCAGAAAAGCGTTGAGCTTCTGGGCTGAACCCAACCCAAGAGAATGAGCGATCAAAGGACAATCCAGATTATTGGGTCCTTTCACCAACTGGGCCAACATTAGGCTCAACTCTTAAAACCAAATAATTTATACATCCTTTTAAAAAAGAAACCCTTTCGTTAAAATCTTTTCTTATTGAAACGATCAGACTCTCTTAAGAGAACGAACACATACTGAAGGCCATGGGGTCCCATATTGAATTCACAAAAGAGCCAAACCTTAAGGCTATAGACTGATTTCCTCTGGGCTTCACGTTAAGCCCACCAGCCTGAAAATTTTGCACTTTAGCACATACTGGGAATACATTAGCCTTTGAGCATTAAAACACTTAACCATTTAAAAGGGGAAAATATAGAACTTGCTTTTAATAAAAAGCACAAGGACATGCCTTTTCTTTTTTCAAAAAAGGAACAACAACAGAACCAACAAACTCACATATGCATCCCTCAATTACACACTATTTACAAGCCAAACATGCACCAACTCTATTCTAAACAATGTTGAAACTCAAATAAGGATTCCCATTTAATCCTATACGCATGTTCAATCACTCACTAACAATGCTCACATGTCCAACTTCAGAATATAATACTCAATATTAAAACCAACAGCACCAAAGCACGATTAAATATGTCTAATAATACTCTTATCAGTTCATAACTCAAAAACATACTAGACTAAATTGCTTATTCACTTTACAAATGCTTCAATAATGACAAGTTAACAAACACATAAATACATAACAAGACTAAATGAGTACAAAATCAAATAATACAAAAGAAATTGCAATGAAATATTGTATCATCAAACGTCCTCATTTTCAATTTCAACATGTCATTTGAGTTCCAAAGCGTACCTGAATACAACAAAATAACAAAGGAAATAAGCTTGGAGCTTAAGAAGAAACCAACAACAATAATTCAGCTAAAGAGAAAACAACAACAGTAACTCAGCAAAACCAAGCAGCAACAAACCACACTTTTTAAACCATTTTGAACCCAGAATAACCACCAATTATAGAGGAATGTTTGACTATGGAAATTTATCAAAGAAATGGGAAACCAGAACCAAATTCTTTACCAAAATTGTAAGAAAATTTTAATAGCTTTTGAACTCAGTCGTGTCTAATGATTTTCAGTGTTCTTCATTCTCTTCCAAAAAAAAATCCCCTTGAGAGAGAAGTAATCATCCTTTTATAGAGAAGTTTTAGGGCAGTAGAAATGATTTCAGTTTTTGCCCTTTTACTCCTTTTTTAATTTTCGTTTTTGCTAGCATATCCTTAATTTTAAAATCAGTTTGTTAACTGTCCCAAACCCACCTTCCTAGCAGCTTCCTAAATCAGTTATGAGAGATTCCCTGACTTAAATTCCCTAAACTAACCTTTAAACCCCCCAATTACCTCAACAGACCACATGGGTCAATTCTGACCCAAGACAAACCAAACATGGGCTTTCAAAACCCGGATTAATCCCTCTCTTTGGGCCTTTGATTCACAGAGCCTCAATTCAATCGAGAACCCAACGGAAAAAGTCAAGAAAAGGGCAACTCGGAGTTATATGAACTCCTGGAACCAAAGATTCCAAATAACCCAAAAACAAGAGGGAAATTTGAGCGAAAACTAAAACAAAAGAATCAAACTAGCTAATAGAGATGCTGATTGAAATAAACTAAAATTAACATGCATGCAACGATGATTTAAGAAACAGAAAAACAAGAAAGAAAAGGAAAGAAACAGAAGAAGATGAGATGAGAAATAAAATGAAAAATGAAGGAAAGAAAAGCAAACAAAAAAAGAAAAAGTACCTAAGAGGGCGGTTGGACAATGAAAGTTGAAAAGTTCTTCAACACCTTCGATTTTAGCCGAAATTGACATTAATCGTGTGTTCTTAACGAGAACACACGAATAAAATCAAACTCGACCCCAATCCATTACTGAAATTTGCCGATTCGGGAGGTTTGGGATTTTAGGGTTTGGAGCCTGACTATTTTGATTGAAGATTCGAGAGCTTCTAGGGGGATTCGAGGGAAACTTGTTAGGGATTGGGAAAGAGGTGGTTGTGAGGATCTTGGGGTGTGAATTTGGTGGTGGTTCGAGGTGGCGCCGCCACCAGAGAAGGTGGGGGATTTGGGGCAGCGCTAGGGTTTGGGTCTCAGACGGAGAAGATGAAGTGAAGTAGTACAATGTACTATGTTAATAAGGGGGTTCGTACATTTTTAAAGGGAATGAGATAATGATTTGGGGCCGTTGGATATGATGGAACAGATGGCTCAGATCGTTTTAAATTCAAATAACTCTGAACGACGTCGTTCGAGTAAGGGCGGACCGGGTTGGGATAGGACTGGGCTGGATTGAACGGGTAATGGGTGGAATTTAAATGGGCTAGGGAGATTTAATAGGAACAACCCAAACATCAGATTTCTTTTATTTCCTTTCCTTTCTTTTCCAATTTCAAATCCTTTTCTTTTCAAATAAAAATAAAAACCTAACTTAATTTCTAAACTAAATTAACTTACCAAATTAGTGTAATTACTAGTCAAGGTATTTATAAAAAATTAAATAACTCCTAAATTGAAGAAAAAAAACTATAAACTTCAAAAATTAAAAGTTAAAATGCAAAGTGAGTTATTTTTTTTGTGATCTTTTCTATTTTTTTGTATAACAACTAATTTACTAATTAACCTAAAAATGTAAAAATAAATCCTAAATGCAAATGCAATGTATTTTGCATTTTTTATGAATTAAATAAAATTAAACATGCATAGAAAAATGCAAATAATTAAGCAAATTCTACAATAATTCCTAAAATAACAAACAATTAAAAGAAAAATCTAATTCTTTGGGATTTTGTAGGAGTAATTTATGTGGGACAAAAATCACGTGCTCACAACCAGTGAGCAATATGGGGCTGCAGCTGTGATAATATATCCGTATCCAATACATATTAAAATATGTTTATACCCATTTATCAAGATATGTTCTGGAATGTTTTTTTATGTTTGGATGGAAATATTTATCAAAAATTAATAATACTATTAGCAAACTAAGAGTGTTTTAATAATTTTTTTGAGTACGGAAATGACTTCCGCCCATAAGTGATTGAAGTCATTTTCACCATTTGTTGTGTTGTCTTCTTCTTAAATATCTTTGTCCCGGTAGGCATTAAACACTCAATAAAAATACTCTCTATTTTACTTTAGGTATCCTAAGTTGTTTATAACCTGAACCAATTGTAGAGAGGTGTTTTACCATTATATATACATGGTACTTGTTAAAGTAGGATCGAGGTCTTTCAAATAATTAAGCTTTGGTTGCATAAGATGTAGTAGTACATTCAACAATTCGATGGTGAAAATTTACAGGAGTAGTTTAGTTGGGACAGAGGAGTAGTTAAGTTACCGCTCGATTTGGAATGAGTGATTTGTCGATTTTTTTGCATGTCTACTTATATCTGGGTACTTTTCTCTATAGCTGCAAGTAGTAATTACATCATTCTGCTGTGGGATAGTCCTTTATATGAAAACTTTTTGATAGAGATTGCAGTTCAATCTTGATTTTTTGAGAACTTTTGGGCAGGCCAGTTTGGCCGTAGGATTAAAAGGAGTGAACTTGATCGTGGTTTCCAATTGGGGAATGTTTTCTGCAGAATGCATATTAAGGTGCCTTTGATATGTTATTCTATGAGAGAGCAGGAGAATATCCCATAATTCTGTTGAATTATCGTCTGTGCATTTCAAGAAATAAGTGATTAGATATCAATCAAGCTCCTAACTTAGTAAATAGGGGCTCTTTTGTTCATCTTACTCGTGTCTTTTTTTCCCAAGATAGTATGAGAAAGTGATGTTTCTTATAATATGATTATTTTGGAGGTTTGTGGTGCTGAAATGTCTAGGTTTATGCGTGCTAACTATCCAGAGAGGATAATTTTCATCTTGCTCTATTTATGCATTGGAATCATAATTATGAAGTTATTGTGTGGGCAGGAGTTTAGGTTAAGAGCAATAGCACGGAAAGGAATTGGCAGAGATCATGCGAAATGGTCTCCTGCAGCGACTGTGACTTTGATGTATGAACCAGAGATCTACGTCAGTGAAGGCATGATGGGGACTTTGACTCTGTATTGGGAAAAATTGTATTTAAATATAAAGATGATGTGTCGAGACACGTAGACTGGTCAAATGGTTAAAGAATTACAACTAGCCAAGAGGCACGAGTTGCAACAAATACGAGCAAATGACAGAGGAAGATGCACGAACAGTTATTCAAATAACTCAGCGCCCGTACCTATCTAAGTCATTTATGTCCGAGAATCAAAAGGAATGAATCTGACAATAGAAAAGAGTGCAGATACAACATTAAATGTGGAATACGTTAGAGAATTTGCATTGAATGTAATGATTATGTAACGAAGCATTCAATGTCTTTAATTACTCATAATAGCCTCATTATGATTTGGGCAAAACGTATATCTCCAAGATATCTATAAATGAGAGATATCTGATCAATTGTAAGGACAAGAAACACTATTGGAATAAACTTTGGTTTACTTGTTTTTCTCTTGATTACTCTCTTGCTACCTAAATTACTTCCATTTATACATTCTTTTGATTATCAGTAACCCGCATTCTTCTAAATTCTAGCTTTGACTAAAATTTTATTTTTTTGGTTAAACAAATTGGTTCCGTTACCGGGAAACTGATAATCTATTTTCTTTTCACTTAACTTTCCTTGTTGCATCAATTATGTAGAACAACAATGACAGCATTCAAGGAAACCAAGAGAACCAACAAAATCAGGGAGATCCACAGAATATTAACACTCAAGTTCCTATTCCACGAGACTCTCCACGACAATCTCGTGAGGGTACTCCTGATGGGTCTCAAATAAACGAGCATGCTCAATTTGAAAATGCTGAAGCCGTTGATGAAGCTTTGCAGAAATTAATTGCTGCTCACGTCAACAAAGTTGTTGAGGCACTTGTTAACCAATTACCTGTTGCAACACCCACTACTACTCCAAATAATAATACTTTGGAAAACCCTCGTTCCGGGCTTGTAACTCAGGCAGCGGTGGAACTCCCAATGAATCACAAGAGAGAGAACCAGGTAATGTAATTAATTCTGATTTACAAAATTTAGTACTAACCTTGCAGAAATAGCTCAAGGAGCAAAGTGAGCACATAGAGCAGATATTCGGGGTGCCGCCCATAATCAAAGGGGTAGATATGGATAGATATTCGCAACAACCCTGGAAGCCAAGTGCTGCTCCACTCCCAATTCCAAAAAAGTTCAAAATGTCTAATATTCCAAAATATGATGGAACAACAGACCCACAAGATCACGTGACTGCATTCACAACGGGCGTAAAAGGCAACGATTTGACTAAGCAGGAGATTGAATCAGTATTAGTCAAAATATTTGGTGAAACGCTCACCAAAGGAGCGCTAACATGGTATTCTCTTTTACCCGAAAATTCTATAATTCTTTTTGCTGAGCTTGTAGATTCATTCATCAAAGCACACTTGGGAGCTCAAAAAGTAGAGGAAAGAATGGAGGATATTTTCAAAATCAAGCAAGGGGACTCAGAACTGCTTAGAGAATTCGTGGACAGATTTCAACGTGAAAGAATGACATTTCCACGTGTACCTGACAACTGGGCAGCTATAGCTTTCAGAAGTAATTTGAATGAAAAAAGCTCGGAAGCTACAAGGAGACTCAAGGAAAGCCTTCGAGAATTCCCAGCTACAACGTGGAATGATGTTTATAACAGGTATAACACGAAACTGAGGTATTGAGGAAGATAATGTTCCACGATTTCAAAAAGAAGAAATGGTAAGTTCGAGACGTGCGGAGACCGAAAAAAGATCCGGTAAAAACAAGTACGAGCCTTACATGGGACCTGCGGGAAAGGACTCATGGTCAAAGCAGGATAATAAAAGGTACGATCACTGATCAAGAAACAGAGAATCAGGTTCTTCATCAAGATTCAGGAATGAGCGAAACAACTATGAGTCACGAGATGATGATAGCAATTTAAAAGCGAGATTCGGTGGTTACAACTTCAATGTCAGCACCTCTGAGCTCGTAGCTGTTTTGAGAAGCATGGGAGATAAGGTTAGATGGCCAAAGGAAATGAGATCGAATCCAAACAGGCGCAACCCTGACCATTGGTGCGAGTTTCATAATGACCATAGACATAAAACAGCAGATTACAGATTTTTACAAAGTGAAGTTGATCATTTATTAAAACAAGGATATCTTACTGAGTTGTTCAGTGAGAAAGGAAAGCAAGCTTACATGAAGAACATGCATTAGCCTCCAAAACCACCTTCTCCCAAAAGAACTGTCAACGTTATAAGTGGGGGTGAAGACGTCAATGGTATATCATATACTGCAGCTAACAAAATTTCCAAAGTAACAATTACCCAAGGAAAACAGGTGCGGCATGTTTTAGAGGAAGACAACATTACATTCAATGACACAGATGCAGATGGCGTATTAACCCCTCATAACGACGCATTGGTAATATCTTTAATTGTACATGATACTAATGTGAAACGCGTTTTGATTGATCCAGGTAGTTTCGTGAACATTATTTTGCTAAGAGTATTACATGAGATGTAAGCTGAAGATAAATTGATACCAAATGCGCATACTCTATCTGGATTTGATAATTATAGTTTCCTCACGAAAGGAGAGGTAACACTCACCACATTCGCTGAAGGAGTCGTCAAAAATACAAAGTTCCAGGTGGTAGATATGGAGATGGCTTACAACATGATTCTTGGGAGACCATGGAAGGATGCTGTTCCTTCAACCTTGCATCAAGTTATTAAATTTCCATCGCCATGGGGAATTTGTCAAATTTGTGGAGATCAACATATTGCCAGGGCTATCAACTCTGTTGCCGATACAAGCACGAGAAATGAAGGTAAATAGCAATCACAGAAGGCAGTTGAGGACACCACAACACAAACCTCAACTGAACACGGGCAAATAGATGGAGATTCAAGGCCTGATACCATTCAAGAACCAGAAGAGAATGAAAATATCAAAACAACAATAGAGGAATTAGAGCCTGTCGTGTTATTTTCTCAATGGCCTGATAAAAAGTCTATGTTGGAGCGAATCTTAGCCAAGGTATGAGAGGTAAGTTAATTGAATTTTTGAAAACTAACGTGGAGTGCTTTGCTTGGTCCCACTCTGACATGATAGGAATACCACCAGAGGTGATGACTCATAAACTAAATGAAGATCCATCATACCCTCCTGTCAAGCAAAAGAAAAGAAAGCAAGGAACTTTCAAGAATCAGGTGATTCAAGAAGAAGTCCAAAAATTGCTAAAAATTGGTTCCATTCGTGAGGTAAAGTATCCTAACTGGTTAGATAACACTGTTGTAGTTCCAAAGAAGAACGGTAAGTGGCGGGTTTATATAGATTACATAGATCTTAATAAAGCCTTCCCTAAAGATTCTTTTCCACTACCACACATAGATCAATTGCTTGATGCAAATGTAGGTCACGAACTATTAAGTTTTTAGATGCATATTCAGGTTATAACCAGATAAAAATGGATCCGGGTGATGAAGAAAAAACTTCATTCATAACATACAGAGAGACTTACTGTTATAAAGTAATGCCATTTGGTCTAAAGAATGCAGGTGCAACGTATCGGATGTTAGTTACCAAAATGTTTCAAGAGCATTTAGGAAAGACTATGGAGGTATATATAGATGATATGCTTGTTAAAACTCAGTATTCAATAGATCATATATCACACTTATCTGACACATTTTTAATTTTGCGCAAATTTAATATGAAGTTAAATCCCGAAAAATGTGTATTTGGCGTTGCATCAGGTAAGTTTTTGAGTTTTCTTGTTTCTAACCATGGTATTGAAGTGAATCCTGCACAGATTAAGGCCATTGAAGAAATCCCTGATATACTTTCAAACAAGAAAGAAGTTCAAAGATTAACAGGGAGAATTGCAGCCTTGGGAAGATTCATTTCTAAATCATCAGAGAAGTGTTTTAAATTCTTCTCAGCCCTTAAGAAGCAGGATCATTTTGAATGGAATGAGGAATGTCTACAGGCACTCAGGAATTTTAAAACGTACTTATCAAATCCACCTTTGCTGGTAAAACCAAAGGCTGGGGAAAGACTACTCATTTACCTTGCTGTTTCGGAATTTCCGGTAAGCGCTGTTTTGGTACGAGAAGAACAAGGTAAACAATCCCCTATCTATTGTCGACGCCCCCTTTTTCTACGAGTCGAAATCGGGTATACGACATTTGGGAGGACAACTATATTTCCTTTCGAGAATTGGGTTTTGGAATTTGAAGAGTCGCCACCTAATTATAGTGCATTAGGACACTTTAAGAAAGAATTGAGATGAAGAACCAGAGGTTGGGTAAGGGCTAGAAATTATCTCGAGGGGAAGGTGTTAGGCACCCCTCAACATCCACTTATGTGGTTCCCGGCCATGCTACAATTGTGACTTTAAGTAGACAAGTAGAAAAGAAAAGGATTTTTCACATAGTTTTGCAAATAAGTTTAAGAGTTGAAGGAGTAGAGAGTTTGGGAAAATTAATTTAAAAGAAAAACTTAAAAATTAACAAGTAAATGGGAGAGGGGTCATAGGTTTACAAATAATTTGGATCACATCAATGCAATATCCAGCAATCACTCCTCAGAAGAGGGGTCACACGTGATATTAGCGCACCGGTCATCATATCCATATTCTACCCTTCCCACCCCGTTAAGGTATTAAAGCGCGGAATGGTATTGTTACTTATTGCATGTTATTACCCATCCCAATCCTATCATTCCCGGAGGCATTTAGGACTAATAATCCTAAAGGGAAAGGGATTTGGGGCCTTTTGAGAGCTTTCAAAGGATAAAACACTAGACGTCAATCAAAATACATAATGCAAGTAAAAGGGGAAGCAGATAAGCAAGGCTCAAGTAAACCTCCTTAAGTCAGATAAGCCATAGAGTTTAACATGTCTTACATGTACTGGTTTGGTCTTTAAAATTAAAGCGATAAACGGACTGGTTCAACACATACTTTTAGACAAGAAGTACGCATTAGGCTCTCTCGAATGCAATTTTTAAGGACTAGTCTACTTTCAGCTATGTGTTAGATAGAACTAACGATTTTGAAAAGTGAACTGGTTATGAAGAGTTACCAGTTTTTATTAGAGTAAAACGAGTTTCAGAAAAAGAATGTACTATTTTGAAAAAGATTTAAAAGAAAATAAAGGAGCTTCAGAAGACATGCAGACTAGTTGAAAAAAAAGAGTTTCACGAACCTTATCAGAAAAAGTGAGTTTCAGAAAATGCCAGTTTGGTTTAGAAAATGTTTATTAACTTACGAGGTTTAGAAAATCACAGAAGACTGCCAGTTTTACCAAAGTATATATTAATTTAAACGGTTGGTGCTGTTTTGAACAAATGAGACAATTCCGACTCGAAGTTCCTATAGGCATGCTTTCTATACGTTAACTGATTTTAACATATTTTTTAACAGGAGTCTTACAAACATGATATATATATATATATATATATATATATATATGCAACTTTATAATTTAGCCTACAGTTTGCCTAATGGTATCATTATGTGCAGAAATGTAAACCCCTATGAGCACGGTATCTATATGTATAGTTGCAGAAAGTTTAGAAGTTAAATCCTATAGACATGGTCTTTACGTGTGAAATTGCGCAGTGTAGAAATTAAACCTATAGACATGATTTCTACCCATTTGTGCATGAAAAGTAACCCCCCTCCCCTTATCACTAAAATCCCATTAGTTTATACAAATTATTACAGACCAGTAAAAAATAAGACAGAAATAAAAAAATACATCAGAAATTACAGCTATATCCAAGCACCCTAATTCAGACTTAGTATCTAACAATATGAGATTGAACCACTTCCGAGATCCAGATTTCCAAAGCCTTCTCTTATCTAGGGTATTTCAGAGATCCAAGGAGTTTCAAGAACTCCAGGCAATGCTTAAACCTAAGATGTTAATTAGAAAGAGTTACAGTGCAGTGTGGAAGAGGCAACCCTCAGGTGTCCAAGTTCAGGGGGAGCTCATGGATCCCAAAGC